TATTATGTGGACAAAAAAATTCCATGATCGGCAATAAATTTATTTGTCTAGCCTTTCTTTAAATAATGATTAGATTCAAAATTGCAATTTATAGAAATGATACTCTTTCTGTGATTTAAAAGCATGATCAAAATATTTCGACCTGAAAATTTACATAAACATTATTGTAATATTATTTTTACACTTTTTACAAAGGTAAAATTAAAATTTTTATAGAATTAGTAACATAAATTTGAATTAAAATAGAATGGGTGTAAAAAAATATATGTATGATCAAATATCAATAGTGTAAATAGATGAAAAAATAATAAGTAAAAACTTTAAAAACAATTGAACTAACACATTTTTCTAAATATATTAAAAATGATAAAATGAGCAAAAAGTGGCAAATCCGGTATATAATTATATATCTCTAATCTTTTTTTATTATTCTTTTTAATTTAAAATTTTCCAAACTTTAATAATTTTTTAATTTATACATAATTTTTCGCATTTTATCATTAATAATATAATTTACAAAAATATTTTAAGTAAAAAATAATGATAAAATGACAAATAAAAATACAAATTAATACTATTTAATTACAAGATTCTCAATAAATTATTACCTTAAAAAAAAAAACTAAAACTCAAATAAAAAGCTTAGATACAGAAGAAAACCAAACACCTACCACCTGTAAAAAAATAATGTGTATTTTAAAAACACAAATAAATTAATTTTACCAAAAGCTTATAGTCATAATTCAATATATATATATATATATATATACTCCTGTGTCTCATCTAATTAGAAATGCTTTTCATTAAGAATTGTCCATAATAACGTACTCCCTCCGTCCACAAACTAAGTTCTACTTTTCTATTTGGAATGTTCAATATTTATTGTCCTCTTTCTATTTTTATACACAAAATTTACTCTTTTACCCTTACTTTATTTACTCTTTCATTTTCTATACATAAAATTTAGGCGTTTAAATATCAAATAGGACATTAGAAAATGGAGGGAGAAAGTATTTTCTCTAGTCCATAATCAATTAATAATTTACTGTAATACTACGTCTATTTATCAAAATACCATTATATACTATAGTTAAACAAAGGGTATAATTAATATTTACATCTTATACATACTCACTATATAGTTACTCCATCCGTTGACTCAAAGTCAAAATGCATATATATATATATATATATATTTCATTTTTGTTGGTACAAATACAACTTTGACCAAACAACACATTATAAATATTTGCAAATTTATTATAACTTTAACAAGTAACGGCTGACGATTTTTACATTATTAAAAGAAAAAAATTACTTGCACACACTTACATTATTATATTAATACCACCACATCAAATTAAAATATAAAAACAAAAAAATTTAGTGTTAAAATTACTAACAAATATTATTTAAATATTATTATTTTATAATTTTACAAAAAAAATAAATGTAAGTATATCTTTTTAATAGACGGGGCAGTAGTGTTAGTTCTTAATATTTTACAAAATTTATTTAGAGCTATGTAAATGCAAATGATGAAGGTGCAATTTGGTTTAGGTGGTTATAGTTTGAAATTGATTTGAAATAAGGTATTGATATAAAATTTATTGTATTTGATATGAAATTTTATAAAAAATATATATATATTTTGTATTAAAAATATGCAGAATAGATAGATAAAATTGCTCATATAATTTCGAAATTCAATGTAAAATTTATTCATATTTTAAAAATTGCATAGTGTCTCTTATACAATAAAAAAAAACGTTATATGAAATCCAATACTACGAAACATCCATTTTGTGATGAAAGATGATTTCTTATCTATATTCTTTGCATGACGGGATTTCATGCAATATTTTTCAAAGTGTAAGAGAGCCATGAAATTTTTAAAATAAAGTGAAGATTTACACCGAGTTTTAAAACTATAGAAGAGTTTCATGCAATATTTTTTTAAAGTATAAAAAGCTTTAAACAATATTTGTTAAAGTATAAGCGGGCGTTATGCAATTTTTAAAGTAAAAAAAAATTTCCATTGAGTTTTATAACCACAATAAAGTTATGGACTATTTTACCAATAAATAATAACGAGTTTAAATTAAAATCACAGCCAAACACAATATTTTATATTCATTGGATCAGCTACAACTCTACAAACATGATTGACAAGTAAGTACAAAAACTAGGAACTTTATTTTAGTGTATTAGTGTATAAATAAAAGTTATGAGGATTGTTTCTTTGGAGATTTTACGGGAATTTATATTATTTATCAAATTTTCACCTCTAAAACTATTAAATAAAATATTTGGGTGTGTTCGGTTGAAATTTCAAATTAAAATTAATGGTTGAAATTTCAAGTCGAAATTGATATTGTTCATTTTTACGATTCTTAATAAAAGTATAGTTTTTCCGCCTGCCATATTAATTTTTTATTTTTAATTTTTGATTGGTCTCTAAATTTATATTATTGGTAATTTTGAAAAAAATCAACAATCAATATTTAAATATTATTCTCAATTCAATAATTAATTATAACAAATATCACCACGGTTATTATGTTATTCCTATTTTTTTTAAAAAAAAATTAATTAACTTTTAAAAAATATTAGCAACTATCTTTAAACTTTTATCTTTTTTTCTTCAATAATTTTTTTTCTTCGTCTGACCAAACATGTTAATTTTATTGGACGAAAAGAATATAATTTTATCTTATAAAATATTATAACAAAATATTATTTAAATAAAAATACAAATTAATATCTCGTTTCAAATTACCACCTAACAAACCCTCAACGTACCTGTAGGACATTTTAAAAATTTATTAAAAAGTATGTTTAATTAAGATCCTATATCTATTTAATAGTAGTGACAACACAAGTAATAATCCCTCCCTTGTTTGTTTTTGGGATTTAGATTTTGAATTTAAATTTGAATAACAAAATTTTAAATTGAAATAAGAATATGATGTGATATAAATAGATATTAATGTGATGTTTTAAATATAAATTTATTTTTTAGAATAATATCAAAAATAAAAAATAAATATTTGATTTGATATTTAAAAAAAATGATAAATAGTAAAAAAGTTGAAAAAATCTCCCAAAAGAACACTCTTTACAATATTAATAAAGTAATTAAGACGTGTATTAGTGAAAATAATTATAATTTAGTAAATATAATTATAGATTAATGTTAATATTATTAATTAAAATAAAAAATTTAAGAAGTGTATTAGTGAAAATAATTATAATTTAGTAAATATAATTATAGATTAATGTTAATATTACTTAATTAAAATAAAAAATTTATAAATTATGAATTTTAAAATGCTATTAAAGTGTATAATTATATTTTCAAAAAATAAAATGCCAAATTATGTAGGACAACCGAGAATAAAGAGATTGACACAAATTAAGTAGGAACGAGGGAGTATAAAAATATTAATATACTCTCCCTGCTCCACATAAAATGTCTTTTTTTTTTTCCATTTTCGTTCGTCCTACGTAATCTATCAATGTCTTTTTTAGAAAATAACTATAGAATTTAATCACATTTGAAATTTTATAATTTATAATTTATAATTTTTTTTAATTTTAATTAAATTATTTAATTATCTTAATTTTAATTTATAAGTATTTGCTTTATATAACAATTATTTCTACTAATACACTTTTTAATTATTTATTAATTATATTTTTCCTTAAGATCATGTATCTACAGTAAATAATTGTTCCCCGACACCTAATGTGACTTTCTTTATCGGGCCGAGTTTGTAGGATATTAGGTTCGGTCGAGATTTACTCAATGCACACTTTCGAATAATAATTGCGGATTTCCACGTCATTAAAAAAATAATAATAATTGTTATGAAAAGAAGATATTACACTTGTTCAACTCATGCTAAATGTGTGGGTTCTTATAACCTCATAGTATTTTTTTTCCACATATTTATATCTTATTTATTGAATATATTGATTTTGTTTATTTAATATTTTGTTTGAGGGTTTTTTTTTTTTTTTTTTTTTATATATGAGCTATAAGGTATTGTATGAATAATATAAAAATAATATTTTATATTAAATATTGTTTTTTCGTAAAATGATAAAATATAATCTTAATAATTGTATTAAAAATAAAATGATTGAAAGAACAAATTTATTATTTTCTCTCTAACATATGAGATCAAAATATTGTTTAATTAGAAAATTAAACTTTACACTCAACACAAAATTCAAAGTAAACTTAGTTATATATTCAAATCGTTATTCAAAAAATAAAAATAAAAATAAAAAGCCAAACAAACAGCACCTATATGTTCAATAATTCAGAAATTATTTGTTTGCTTCTTTTCGTTTTACAAAATGATAGTGTCTCATTTTTATTTCAAATTTAAATCAACATCCTTTAATCAGTACTTGATATTCCATTAGAGGGGAGGAATTATAATATATTAATACTTTTTTCTATTCCCATAAAATATCATATATAAAATTTATAATTGAATATCAGATTTAATATATAATTTTCTGTAAAAATTATTTATAATTTAAGTTTAAAGGATTTCAGAAATAATTATATGTGTATATATATAGTCATACTCATTATTACATCCCAGGGTTGCGAGTATGCATATTAATTTAAAGTTTTTTATTTAAATAATATTTTATAAAAAACAAACTAAGATATTTTTATTAAAAATAGTATAAAATAAAACATAGAACAAATTATTACCATCTTTACTACATTAACCTTTAAAACTTGAATTATTATTACTATTATTATTATTATTATTATTATTATTATTATTATTATTATTATTAATTTAGTTTACAGAAATTATAGAGCTTTGCCATCCTAGTGGGCTGGCTATGGCTGGGCGGTCAAACGCACGTCGGTTAGCAGCACCCGAATTCTCACCAACGGAATTCGGCCACGTGTCGTCGACTAAACCTAAAACCACAATCTCGCTCCTAGAACCGTACACTCGATCATTTCATCGTCGTCGACACTCGGTCCCTTTCCCTCTTATATTAATTACTATGGCTGCTGCCTGCCACCATTGCTTTGCCAATCGCCTGCCATCACACCCCTCCCCGACATGGAAGAAAAACCTTAAATTCCTCGTACAGATTTAACCCTCCTCTGTAAGAAAGGCGATCCATCAGGCCAGCTGAGGGCTTTCATTTGCTTTTGCTTTTCTTTTCTGGGGGCAAAAAATGGAAAGGTACGAAATTCTCAAGGACATCGGCTCTGGTAATTTTGGAGTTGCCAAGCTTGTCAAGGACAAATCCAGCGGGGAACTCTACGCCGTCAAGTATATTGAGAGGGGCAAGAAGGTAATTTCCTCTCTTCTCGTCGTCGTAATTTAGTAGGGTTTCTCGATCCATTCACCTCTCCTCTGCTATGCTCTGTCTGATTTCTGGAAATTAATTTGGGCTGTGGGTGTTGTAGATTGATGAACATGTGCAGAGGGAGATTATGAATCACAGGTCCTTGAGACATCCTAATATCATCAGGTTCAAGGAGGTAATTGATTTTTGTTTTGTTTTGTTTTTTTTTTTTCTTACCTGGTTTTGGATGATTGTTTGATTCTGCTGCTGATGATGACCAGCCATGGGTTAAACTTTCGACTTTTTTTTTTTAATACTTGCTTTTGTTTAATTTTATTATATATATGTAGAGACAGAGGAGTTCTTACACGTATAGATTGGGAAATGAGAAGGTTTTAGCTAGTTTGTGCTTGGAGGAAGACAATCTGAAAAATTGGACAAATTTGTTTATTGGAAAATGGCCGAATCTGTCTGTATGTATGCATATGTATATGATGATTCCTTTCCTGTGTTCTTGTGCAGGTTTTACTTACGCCGACTCACCTAGCCATTGTCATGGAGTATGCAGCCGGAGGCGAGCTGTTCGAACGCATATGCAATGCAGGGAGGTTCAGTGAAGACGAGGTATCTTGTAGCAACATCCCCGTGCGCGCCAAAATACACACACACATATACATATATATATATATGCATTGGTATTTTTGAGTGATCCTTTTCTAACTGCAGACTGTTGGATTCGAATGTTTTCATTTGTCTTAGGCGAGGTTTTACTTTCAGCAGCTGATATCCGGAGTCAGCTACTGCCATTCCATGGTAACAAACTTTGTTCGCTGATATAGGCACCTCTCTCTCTAGACTCTCTTTCTCTCTATATGTGTGTGTGTGTAGATTCTGATGATTTTCTTGTCTTAATGCGCGCAGCAAATTTGCCATAGAGATTTAAAGCTCGAAAACACATTGTTAGATGACAGCTCTGCGCCTCGTCTTAAAATCTGCGACTTTGGTTATTCCAAGGTTTCTATATATATATATACATACATACATACATACATACATACATATATCCATAACTAGCCTGCATCTGCTTCCTCTTGAAAAGGCAAGAGTAGGCAAGTTTTGTTCTTGTATCGAACACTCGCATGTCTGTTTTTTCAGTCATCAGTGTTGCATTCTCAACCGAAATCAACTGTTGGAACCCCTGCCTATATTGCGCCAGAGGTCTTATCGAGAAAAGAGTACGACGGCAAGGTCGTAATTAATAAGCTCTGCCCCTTGATGAATTCACCTATAATGATCTCGCCGTTTAAAAGTCTTTGCTTTTGGTCCTACAGATTGCAGATGTTTGGTCTTGCGGGGTTACCTTGTACGTGATGCTCGTTGGCGCATACCCATTCGAAGATCCCAGCGATCCCAGGAATTTCAAGAAAACCATCAATGTGAGAGACTCACCCATTCCGACAATCTCACAAAACATTTCTTGCCTTTTCGCACATAACACGATCGTATACTCCTTGCAGAGAATACTCAGCGTTCACTACTCGATCCCCGACTACGTCCGTGTCTCCAAGGACTGCAAGCATCTCCTGTCCCGAATTTTTGTCTCCAACCCCGAAAAGGTACGGCTGCGTTGTTGTTTTCTTTGCACGAATGAATTCCCTTACACGAAACTTCACCGACCACAGAGAATAAGCATCCCGGAAATAAAAAAGCACCCGTGGTTCCTCAAGAACCTCCCGCCAGAGCTGGCAGAGTTGGGGGATGCACCGAAGCCGGAGGTGAGGGACGATCATCATTATCCTTCCCAGCAGAGTCTCGAGGAGGCGTTCGGGATTATTCAGGAGGCGAGGGAGCCGGGAGTTGGGGTCCCGAAATCCAGTGGGTTCCTCATCAACGGGAGCATGGATTTCGACGATGATCTCGACACCGACGACTGCGATGATTTGGATGACATCGAGACCAGCGGGGATTTTGTTTGTGCAATGTGATGATGATGATGATGGTGGTGAAGGTGATCGATGCATACCACTTACTTACTATATAAGGGCTGTCTTGTTTTAATTTGTGTCAGAACCTCAGATTGGAGCGATGATATTGATTTCAATGTTCGTTCGTTTGTTGTTGTTGTTGCATGGGTCGGGTCAGGGTCAAAGAGACGGGTGGGGTGTTGTAGTAGTAGTAGTAGTAATGGCCTTTAAATTTGCTTGTTGAGGGATCGCTCGTCCGCTCTTGCAAGTGTGGTTCGGAAAAAAGGATGATCATGTTTTGTTTGTATTCACTATCGTACCAAAATACAATTTCATTTTATGTTTTATTACCATACAAATCTTCAAAATACTATACTATATATATATATAATTCATGGTCTTCTCCTCAAGTGATCTTGATAAATTCAGCATTAACATTTACCGCTTTAGATTGAATTTATATGAATTTTTTTAAAAAATTTTTTTTTCCCAAAAATCTCGTATTAATGGTATTCATATGAGACGTGCGAGATCTTGTTATAATACTTTAATATGAAACGTGAATTTACGCTAACAATATACGTCAAATAAATAATAATAAAATAAAAATAATAATGTCAAGTCTTAGTACTTAAATTCAACTTAAAGAAAGGAAATGATATTTTTTATGGAAATTACATTTTACTCTTGTATAACGTGTCCAAAAGTAGACATGTTTGATGCCTAAGCCATGCCTGTTCGGAGGCTTAGATCAGTAGTCCTTGTACGCAATAATACTCCCTCACTTCTATACATCAAACATATGCCATCAATTCAACGTACAAAACAACAGGCTCGCACACATGGGACGAACTATGGCCGAAAATTTGGGGCCGAACCGTCAATCCGCAATAATATTCCCTCACTTCAAGTCACAAACGCCCTCGTACGACGCTACTTGAGTGCACCGACATAACTTCTTGCACCTTCGGTTTGCCTTCAAGCGTAAGTTCGTCAACCCTTTCCTAAATATCTACATTTTTGTCCCCACCCAATATCAGTGAAAATTTCCCTAGCTAACCCACGTGTAGCCTATTATGCCACTAATCTCCATACACTGTTCGGAATTCTTCTTGTTGTTGCATGCACGTTTTTGCACTATGATCGTCCTTAACGTGATTCTTTCCTCATGAACAAAGTTTGCCCATGCTAGTGGAACCGCAACATCGAGCATACTTCTTCTCTCAAGAAGCACTTTTCACATGAAATGTCTAGCAGCATGCTCTCCTGCAGAGCATAACTCAATCATAAGCTTTGATCATCATCACCTTTATAGTTCGATCTGGTACCATGTAATGTGCCCGGACGCTGACATGCTCAGCGCCTGATCCGTGCTAGTTGAGAGACTTAAGCCAGCGGTCTCAAGCTTAATTATACTAGAATTATACAAATACGTACTTACAATAAGATATATGTTATAAATTTATAAATATATATATATAATTTTAATATTTTTATATAATACTTTTAATATTTTATTTTTAATTTATAAATATATTTTATACTATAAATTTATTAAATATATATATATGAATAAAGATTATTATTATTATTATTTTCTATAGGAATCTATAGATTCGAAATCTAATAAAATTCAATAAAAATCCTGTGCGAGTACATTATAATCCATCCGTCCGTTACAACCAGAAAGAAAGCAGGAAGGGAATTACCTCCTGCTCCCTCCAAACACCCACGGCCACACCAGAGCAGAGCGCGGCTCCCCCGCCCGCCCTCACCCCATCCCTATCCTATCCCTATCCCTATCCTAATCCTAATCCCAATCCATGGCCTCTTCCGCCGTTTTCCTCTTCCCAATCCCGCCCCCGCCCACTCCCTCCAATTCGCCGCCATCTCTCTTATGTTCTGTGCCACCTCTCGTCACTATCTTCAACAAGACCCACACCACCAGAACCGCCAGCTGCAGACCTCTCTTAGTCTCCGCCTCCGCCTCCGCCTCATCTCATTCGCTTCAGGCTCTGATATTTGACTGCGACGGTGTTATATTGGAGTCCGAGCATCTCCACCGCCAAGCTTATAATGATGCTTTTCAACATTTCAGTGTTCGCTGCCCCTCCTCGTCTTCCCCACTTCCACTCAACTGGAGTCCCGAATTTTACGACGAGCTGCAGAATTTCATTGGCGGCGGAAAGCCCAAAATGCGATGGTTAGTTTGTTCCGTGGTTGGTTTCTATTACTGTTGGAATTTGCAGCAGGATTTTACTGCACTGGAGTTTTAATTAGTATCTATCGTCTTGATGGAGCTCTGGTTTTCATGTTTTCAACCCTTTTTTGCCTTTTGTTTTGTTTTGTTTATTCCTGGCGTTTTGATTGGATAGGTATTTTAAGGAGAATGGGTGGCCTACTTCCACTGTTTTTAATACGCCTCCGGAGAAAGATGAAGACAGAGCCAAATTGATTGACATTCTTCAGGCATCAATCAACCAACCAATCTTTGAATCTCCTGCTTTGTACTATCCACTTCACTTGTGATTCTCTTAACATAAAAATGAACTATCATGGCCTTTTAACTTATCCCAAATCTTTTCCTGTTATTTATGCCCAAAGATTTCTAATTTTCCTTTGTTTCCATATAGTTTTTTCAATTATAACTTTTAAAATACAATTTATAAAGATATCTTGCTATTATTTCCAATGTGGAATGCATTTGCAGTGAATTTGAATTTTGAATAGTAAAATTTTGAATTAAAATAGTTATTTGATATAAATAAATATGGATGCAAATGTTCGTAAAAACAATTTTAGTCTAAAATTAATAAAAAAGAGAACTTTTAAAATTATACTACCTAAAATGTGCGTTCAAGGAAAAAAAAAAAGAAAAAAACTAGTGAAGTGTATGTTTCAGAGAGAAATTAAAAAATTATGTTCCTTTGTTTGATACAAAGCCATGAGTTACTAAAACATTTAGCATGCAGAATTTGTGAATTCTATTGTAATAATATTTTCTGGTTTAATCAGTGATTAGCCCCCTCCTGCTGACATAGCTGTTGATATTATTGTTTGGGGGTTTGGGTTTTGAGTTGGAATTTGAATAATAAAAATGTTAAATGTGATATAAATATGTGTTGAAGTGATGTTTTGAATATAAAAAATAAAAATTAGATGTTTGATTTGATGTTTTTGAGAAAAAAAAAAATTTGATGAATAATAGATTCATAGGAACATCCCATACACTAATACACCCCTTACATCGTTAGAGTGGTGTGGAGATGTATACTTTGTTCACCTCATTGTCACGAAAAAAGTAAAAGGTAACTATTATATGTATTAGCTTTGAGAACTGATAGCAAAAAATGATTGCAGGTGAAACCAAGCTCAGTTCTAGCAAAAACACTATTTTCCCTTAAGCATACTTCTAGCAATGTGAAATTCAGATAATCAATCCGACAGAGAAACAAATAGTTCGTTAACTTAAATGTCTTTGTTATGCCATCAGCCTTTGTCACGTGTTTTTTGGCCTAAATTTATAAGGATCAGGCATGTTTTTTTAAATTACTAAGCAATAAAGATTGACTCTTTCTGCAGGACTGGAAGACGGAGAGATACAAAAAAATTCTCAAATCTGGAACTGTAAGTGAATGGCGTTAGTTATTCTTAGTTTTGGAGTTTAAGAATTTTGATGCAAGTTAGTTTCCCTTTTTAAGACATCATCAAACATGCTTTGCCTGTTTGATGAGCAGGTTGAACCTAGACCTGGAGTTCTTAGATTGATGGATGAGGCAAAAGATTCGGTAAAATGTTCCATAGTTTTATGAACACAAACTTGGTTCTTTCAATGTCCTGAAATTTCTTTAACATGTCTCATCCAGCAATTATAACATCCATATGGTTTCAATATTGGTAACATTTGAATCTTCAATTTCAGCCCCAATTACAAAGTAAGGTCTAAAAAGTAGTATTAATTTTCTCTTTATTTAGGGAAAACTGCTAGCAGTTTGCTCCGCTGCAACCAAAAGTTCCGTTATCCTGTGCTTGGAAAACCTCATTGGAATGGTGAGATTCTCATTTTACTGATGGTCTTGTTTGTCCTTGAACGTTTTGGTTACATCCTTGTCGGCTTACTGCTAGTTGGACCCCAGGTCATGGTTATGGTCATGGTCCGATACTATTGATTCTTAGATGTTTGTGGTCATAATCTTGGATACAAATACGTAATCAATGCTCGAAGCCAAGTAGCAACACGAACACTCTTTAGATGGCCATAAAATTGTGACAAAAAATTTACAGCATTAGGCATATCAACCTCCCTTGCTGGAGATCAATACATCATGTTAAAAAGTGAATATGAACTCAATATGAGTTACGGTTATCTGCACTAAGGTGAAACTGTTTCTCTTTAAAGAAAGACCAGTAACTAATATGTGTTCAATTTTACATTATGGCTTATGCCCCTTTCCAATTATGATGCTAGCATTCTTATCTTGTTTGCAGGAGCGTTTCCAAAATCTTGATTGCTTCCTAGCAGGTAAATTCGAGAAACTGAGGTTCGCGTTATAAATCTGTGGCCTTCTTACTGACGTTTTTATTTATGTGCTATGTAATGATCAAGAAATGAAAAGATATAAAACTGTTTGTGATACCAGAGAGACTCGGCGGCGCCGAGCAGACCGGCCGCCGGTGGTGTACTCACAGCAAGCTCGGATCCTCTCATTTTGGACTCATACTGGCTCTTTAGTATTTTGTTTCTCATTCCTTTTGGTTGGTCCTGTGGGCTAGTCCGAGTCCTTTAAATATTACTATTAGGGTTTTTTAGGTCATCCTTTGGACATGGGAGAAAAGACAACCTAATGTTACCGTAGGAATTACTCTTAAGTGTTTGGTTAATCATTCCTTTGGATAATGGTATCGACTTTTCACTCCATATCAGTATGAATAGGAAATTGAAAATAGAGGCTGAACCATGAAAACCATTATTATGAGAATCAGGTAAAATGGTTACTGGCTACTACCACCTACTGGAGCTACACAAATCAAGTTTATTTCCGTTGGACTGTGATTAACTGCCAGTGATTTGGAATGCTACAAACTGAACTGATTTGGAATCAGAGAGGAACGCCTGCGGTGATATGAAAGATGACACAATTTTCATTCATCCAAGGCTGTGATTACTCCAATGTTTTACAAACTGAATCAGACCAATGTTCCATCTTGTTAAACTCACTGTGCAATTCATCAGACTCGTGAGTTATAATAAATCCACGTTTGTAGGAGATGATGTTAAGGAGAAGAAGCCAGATCCCATGATATACTTGACTGCTGCCACGGTATAAACTTGGTACCTATTTCACTTCATCTGGTAATTTACGTTCCACTCCTTAACTGCACGGTAGATTTATAATTTCGTGCTTTACAGAAATTGGGGGTATCAGGAAAAGATTGTTTGGTTATAGAAGATAGCGTGATTGGACTGCAGGTCTGTCTGTCCTATGAAGTAACTATTCAAATACTTTATGCTGAATCATCAGTAATATATTGAGTTTCAGTTTGAACACTTAATTGGTTGGTACAAGTTTGTTTACAAACTATCTTTTCAGAATCTTTGAGATGAATTACCACTGATCTCGCCTTGGCCCCTTTGTTGCAGGCTGCAACTGGAGCTGGGATGCCCTGTGTGATATCGTATACAGCATCCACTGCCAACCAGGTATGTCTAAGATTGGTTTATAGGTTTAGAAAAGTCACACTAATCTGCATGGAATTGACTTTCAGTGTGTATTCTACCACAGGATTTTACAGACGCAGTCGCAATCTATCCAGACTTGAGCAATGTCCGGTAAGGCAAACTATCTGGCTGGCATTCGGACTACTGCAATTCAATTTCGTGCGACTTTTTACTCCTCTTGGTTTCAGATTGGCAGACCTGGAAGCACTGCTGAAAAGTTTGGAAGCAGCAAAATAATTGTACATTGTCGAAAGCCTGTAGAGATGGTTGCGTTTTCATTAACCAACTCTTCTCACATGTGATGTGCTGTATTTAGATCGCCATTGCTGGTAAATTGAACAACGGTAGATACGATTCTTTCTCAAGATGTGTGTATGTACTGTTGTTGATATTGTTGATTATTTGTATTTAAGAGGCTATAACAATATCATCATCATCATCATCATCATCTACTTGAGATTTCCTTTTACAGATAAATTAATTTATGTAGCAACATTATAATATTACATACATCCATTAACAAACTAAGAAAAAACACAGCCAAATAAGTAATGAAGGGTAATATTCCCAGACCAAATAACTCACAAATAGTTCATCACCCTATTACTCCCTCCATATGCCATCTTCCAATCACCTACTTACCACTCGATGAGTGAATCTGTAGGTCGACTATACGTTGCGCACCTCAGTAGGTGGGTACATAGGTGTTCACATGATATACAACTTTGTGGTTACTTTCTTTTGGTAGTTATGCTAGGTAAAAACAATCTGTAGCCTTGAGATGACGGGCAAGTTGGGTGACCGTAGCTTGCACAGCATTGGAGTGGGCAGATACTGAGTCAGGAAGTTCTGGTATGCAAATTGGCAAATATTGGTTGTCTTTTTCCCTTGAACCAAACAGAGTGAAAACAGCACGGCAGAAAATAAATCTGCAAAGGGTAAAAAATCCATCAGCTTGGTGATGATAGCAAAGTGGTTGGGAGAAAAAACATGTTCAGTTTCTTGAAGCAGGTTCTATACTCAAGAAAAGAGAGTAGATTTTACAAAGATTCTATATAGAGCTCACTGTATACAGTGACTTAGATGAGATAATAGCTCATAAAAGAGTATGTACCTGAGAATAAGCCGTCGGAGAAAAGGATCACATAGAAGCTGAGCCCAAACCAGATCAAGCTCAGTTGAGGTACATAAGATTTCTTCCCATTTCGAGAAGGCAGTGGAGAGAATGCTTTCCACCTCATTGTACATGTCCTGAGACAAACGAATTAATAAACATGGTTAAATACTACAGGAGTAAGCTTATGGATAGTTGGATTTCTTAATAGTTCACTAACCAAGTCAACGTTGCTCATGTTACAATCAACCAATTGGCAGAAAGCATGCGAGGGAGCCGTCAAGAAGTACGTGAACTGACTTCCATATTGCGACAAATCAATACCACTTGGATTCTTGAACAATGGACTCATAGGAGAAAGAAATAAAGCCGCTGGTTCCCCCCTTTCTGCTCCATGCAGAACCTGAATAGCAGCAATTGGCCTATCAGTGTGATTGGCAAGAGATTTCCATTCAAAGATGCATGGGATGAAATCAACAATAAAAAGGCGGGTTCTTTAGAATTAGTGCAAAATGCAGTAGTGTAAAATGGATAGCTGTTGTGTTATAAATTCCTGTCAGACAACAATAACACAGAGACAAAAAGCAACTGAAAAAATCTTGACATAAAATTATATTAGAATTTCACAGGCCAAGCCGTTACCCATGTTTTGTAAACCAGTGAAAACCAAAAAGAAAATTACTTACAAAACACCACATGGCATAATTACTTCCAATTCAGCTTAGAAAGAAGACAGGAGAATAAATAGGAAAGATCCACCATATGCCAATAGTGTTTTTTGTGCGTGAACACTGTGCTGTGCTTGACAAACCAGTTCTATAGACCTTGCACCAATTTACACAGGAACAATAGACTCAGTATTGAGAATGAATGATGGTTCAATATTGCAAACATGGCTCTCTTTCAATTTAGAGAAATATGAGAGCTAAAGTCAACAAAATACTGATGATAGTGGAGCTGTAAATATCTGCTGCAGGGTGTACAGTAGGATGTGCAAAAATAAGTTACCCAACAAAGTTTAACAAACCTGCCTTGAATGTATGACTACTATCACTATCTATTATCAGGAAAAGCGGCCTTCTGGTGAAAGGAATTATATCACCGGGAAAGAGGATGTTTGACCCTGCCACATAAATAATAGAGCTTAAGCCAAGGTCAGAAGAAAAGGCCAAATAAATCTGTTGCAAGTATATTAATACACCCATACATACACGTGCATCATAAACCATATTACAGAGTAATGTATACAGTAAGATTCTTACCTCCACTTCTGCTTGGACCTAAAATCAAATAATTCTCAAAATATTGACTAGATTCTCTCTTGGAAACATGATTTTCGCAAAAGCCATTCCTCTGAACATAATGGTTATTAGCAGGTTCACTGAGCATACTGTATTTTCTTGACGTTGCAGAGACATCCATTGGTGAAGCACCACCATGACCCAAATTCCCTGCATATACAACATGATGATTAACCCATCCAACTACGAGAATCAAGCAATTAAGGGTGAAAAGAAACCTGAGCTGGACAAGTATATCAGCATAACACTATCAGGAGGAAGTTCCTCACAGACTGTTGCAATCACCTGTCGATACATAAGCAACCCAAAGTAAGGCAGTTGTTAGAACTTTATACAATGCATGAACAAATAGTGGCATTTAAACTCTCTATATGACCTAATCTCTGCATGATGCAAACACAAAAATGGTATAATTATAAAGTATAGATTCTGGCACTGACAGCTATCAGTTGGGTCACAGATGGACGATACAAGATTGCTTTCTTTGGATTTGGAGGCAAATTTGGATCTGTATCTGCCATCAAATTCATATCTATTAATCCTGAAGTGACAGAATAATCAGCAGTTGTATTTACACCATTCTCCTTTGATTCAATACGACGTGTTTGATAGAAAGCTCCACTAGGTTCCCATTCCAAACATTGCAGCATTCTGAGTGCATCTAAAGTGATTTCTGCAAACTTGACCTGAAATATCATATAGAACATTGCTCTGTGTTATTGACTTCAATTGGAAAAACTTAGAAGTCAGAACACAACTATAACAAATAAAAAAAATATATATATATATTACCTCATTTCTGTGATAGCTAGTCAACACCGCATCTCTAAACTTCAGAAGTCTCTTAGCATGAAATCGAGCTACGTATGAGAGTGAGGCTGGATATGAATCAAAAATGGTTGTATATCTCAACGGTCTAGCATTCAGAACAATTGAATCAGCTTTTGCAAACCGCACGATTTCTTGCATCACTAGCTTCCATTCTTTGAAGTTGGTATCCTATAGAAGAAGTCTATATCATTGGTTACACAGTTATGCAACAAAAAGGATACATTTACAGCTTTATTGCTGTCCATGTAAATAAAGAAAATATGCCAAAATTTTAAACTAGGGCAGACAGTGAGGAATTCAATTGAAACTATTGTTTTAGGGTATCAGGATTGAACCAAGTGCTCAAAAAACATCAAACTGAAAGATTGACTCACGTCACACCTCTGATATAAGCCAAAAACTTAGATATCAGACCAACATCCAAGAGCTATTATTATACTAATAATCAGTAAGTTCGCTCAAGTCTTTTCTTTCAATATTCATGACACTCATTTACATTTACATTTACATATACACGCTACATATATAAATTATTCCAGTTCATGAGAACATTGTCTGCAAATTAAAGTACAGTTACATATTAGCCAAAATGGTAATGCTGCACAAGAACAAAATAAATGCAACAACTAGAAAAGTTCAAACTCAGAATGATATTCCGAAAGCTGCACATATAACGGTCAACTGTTTCAAACTTATAATTGATGGAAGATGTAAAAACTATTAAACAGACAGATGCAAGGCTAATATCCTAAAGCCAACGCAAGTTTGATATATCCGTAAATAATAGGCACTTCCATTACCTATCACTTTTAAGTAAACTAAACCAGTTTTCAACATATAGAATAATGTATTCAGGTGTAGACTACAATCAGGTGTTTCGTAATCCAGTTCAGAATACCTCAAGTATCAAATTCTTTGACTTTTTGGCTGGATAAAGATATGGTATAGGTTTTCATATGTATATTTTAAATTATTTTGTTGGGCGATGGGAGTCTAGGCAATTTCTTATGCACTGGAGGGGGATTATCAACATCAAGCACCTGCTTAAAGGTCAGTCAATCACCCTAAGTCGCATGGCATTATGTCTACATATATTTACCAGCCACCAACAAAATCTCAAATGAAGTACTGATATTTTCAACTGCTTGTGCATAGATAGAAGATAGTACAGCTAATAGAAACAAATCAAATATATCAATCTAGAAACAATGCTTTGCATTAAATATATGAACTTAAAAGGAGGAGATTAATTTAACAGCTTTTGGGTCTCTTTCAAGTTTCTCCCAAGCATAAATGACTGAATAATTAATTGGCCAATCATCTCTATAGTCACAGACTAAAGTATTTCTACTTGATTCATTTCCCTTATCTGTACCATCTTGATCTTGTTTGTATATACAATTTTTGTTGGCACCTACCAGTGCTGGGGCTTTATAGATTAGCAGAACAATCAAATGCTGCCATCATTATCATTTCATTTTTGGGTCTCATGAAGAGCCCTCACTTGCAACATTCAACTAACTTTCCATGTCCTCAACTCTACCTAAATAATGATTCCATACCCAAAAGGCAGTATGAATGATGGGTGGGGTGGAAACAATCAATACCAAACTTGAGAAAGATAATTGATGATAGCCACAACCAATACTGCAAGTACACAAACTCAAGTTGATAATCATCAATCTGCCTATATATTTTGGGAAAAAGATGAAAGTTTTAACAATCAACAAAATCTAATAATGGTAAAAGAATCTCACAAGCTAAAGATGAACCCAAAGCTAGCATCTATTGTTGAAAAACGAAAAGAAAATTTACAAACCAAATCACCGAAATTGAAGAGAGAAAGAATAACAATTGATTACCCGAAAATTGTCTTTGCTGTCGTCGATTAGCTCTTTAAACCTTTCGACGAGCAATTTCACCATTTCTACGCGATTCAGAATCAACGAAACCATCAAAAACCTGGCGTAAAACCGTAGCTCCTTAAACCTAATCCCTCGATCCTTAGCGGAGCCGTCGAAATACTTCCGATGGAAAATCGCCTCGTAGAATATGTAGGCCTCGAGAAGAAACCTAGCCTCGCTGGTCCTCAGATACTGGTTGTAATAAAGCTGACCTATTCTAGAAGCGATCTCTCCGATTTCCCATCGCTGGAGCCCCGAATCCACCAGTTTAGCTCGATTCTCCTGCTGATATTTCCATAGTCGCATGTAAGCCTTGAAAACCTTATGAAAGAAGTGCCCATACTGCGGCCCGCTCCCACCGTACGGATGAAGCGGCGCGTCGCGCACGCGCGAGAATTTCCGCTCCGCTGCCTCCACCAGCGTGCGGAAAGTTTTCGGTACGACTTCCTCCTTCGACATCCAAAACTAACTGCGAGAGACTTGGAAACCACTTCAATTCACTAGATTTTACCCACCATGTTCCATCTAGCTAGGCTGGACGCTCGTTGGTCAAAACAGACAAAAGTATTTAGAGATCAACAAGAAGTAGTCGTGTGGAAATTCAGGAGATTTTTAATCCAGGGGAGGGAGAACGTGGAGAGTGAGCTGGAAATAGGTGTGCGTGTGTCAGGCAGGTGGTCAAAGCTTGCTTCAACTTCGTTGGCTTTTGCTGTTGTTATTCGGCGGCTGTTGATTCTCGACTTCTGAAGTGATTTTTTGGAAGGACCGGCGGCGGCAGGCCGTCGGCGTTGGTGCAATTGGGATTAGGAAGGGAGTAGACTAGAAGAGGGAGATGGGAACGGAATGGGACTGACAGACTGATTTGCAAAAAATGGCATTTAAGGCGATTGTTGATTGTTGGGTCGTTGTTCTTCGTTGGCTTGGCTTGGCTGTGCTGCCCCACTTTTTAGAACCGGCGGTTCGACTTCATATCCAATCGACATCAAATGAAAATCGAATCGATTTTTCCACTGCGGTTCCAACATTCATCAAACTGTAGGATCATCTCCAACGATGATTTCCTCCACTCTTGCATGATGGATGGATAAAAATTCACTTCAATCCATCCCTATTTATGCAGGCTCGACAGTAATCACCTCTCTTGCGAGAGGGTGTATGTTATTATTATTATTATTATTATTAACTCATACAAAATTAATATTTAATATAAAATTTTATTTTTTTTTAATTGCTAATCCCTGTTGTATTGTGCTGTGCTGATCATTTTCCAACCATTTGTATATGACACAAGTTATTTTTCCGTATTTTAATCATAACAACAAAGAATCATATTCATAATAAACATTGTATGCATCATATACTTTTGTGAACTTTTGCATTCTAATTGTATGGATCATCTGTTTGTTTAATTCTAAAATATTTTATTACAAATAGAAAATGTTTATCAAATTTGGTGCCGTATAATAAAATATGAAATATTTTTTTATACACACATGCTAAATTGAACATAATGCTAATTTATTTTAATTAACAGTAATTTATATACTCCTATTTTATTTCAAAATATAATTTCTAATACATTTTGACTTAATTCTTAACACACAAATTTTATAAATTACAAAATAAAAATTTATTTTAATTTCATTACAAAGACATAGGGTGTACTTATTCTAAATTATATAGAATTTTGTGATTTAAAAAATTTAGGTGTATTTAATTTAAAGTTTCAAAAATCTTTTAAAATTTGAAGATATTATATCTAAAATTTTAAAAGTCTTTTAAAATTCAAATGTATTTAATCTAAAATTTAAAAAAAAAATTAAAATAACTAGACATTCAATTATATATAGATTTTAAAAATCTATAAATTTTAATGAAAATTTATAAAATATATCATACAAAGATTTCGATGAATTTTTAAAATTATTATTATTATTATTATCATTATCATTGTTATTGTTAATAAATAATAAATAATATAATAACATTTATTAATATTATTATTATTTTCAATAAAAATGCTAGTTTAAAAGTAAATTAATAATTTATAAATATTCATTTTGTATTTTTAAAATTTAAAACTAATAAAAAATTGTATTAAAAATTAAAATTTGCTATTGCATTTATATTTTTTTTTTTGTTTATTTCAAATATTTATATATATACATATATTATACATATACAGATTTTGAAAAATAAATAAAATGAATGAGGTAGAGGTGGGTGGAGCAAGGCCCTTCCCTTAACAGACCCTAAACCCTTAATTGTGATCGCATCAAATAAGGTTAGAACTAGGGAAAAATAATTCTACACTACTATTGATCATATTCATCATTGATATCATGAATGTGCAAATTCTATTTGTTACCAGAAATTGAAAGTGTGTAATGACAAAACAGATGAAAGAAAGAAAGGATGAAATATGATCAGGGTGTTTAGCAAACAATATTTTTAAATAGTTTTTAATTATTTGACTAGTAAATTAGTTAAAACTGATGTTTAATAAATCATCGTCTTAAAACTAATTTATTAAACCAAAAATTAATTTATAAATGATTGTATATTCCATCATTTCAGATTAGTTTTTTTTATTTTTATTTTTTATTTTTTATTTGCTTTAAAAATAATTCAATTCCTTCACACATGCTCATATATATTTTATAGTACACTGTTTATTAATGTTAAAATATATATATTTTTTCTAATAATTTATAAATTTATTTTTATAAATTTAAAATGATTAAATTATTATTATTTTTATATATCAATTATTTTATTTGTAAAGCTTTTTTTAATTTGTTAAAACAAAAGAGAAATAAAAAAAATTATTAATAATTATTTAAAATTATAAGTTTAATGAAAAAATAAATTAATTTAAAATAATTTAATAAAAATATATACATGAATTATCTGTTTTTATATTTATATTATTTTTAATAAAAAATACTAATATATTTTAATAAGATTATATTAATTCTTTTGTAAAATATTTAAAAAGTAACAAAAATAAATATATTAATAATTTTTAATAAGTATTAATAAAATTCTAAAAATTTCTATAGCAACAGAAGTGGACTAGACATTTTAAAAATTAAATATAAAATATTTTTAATTGTTATTTTATATATAAATAACTAGTGTCGAACAATTATTTTGTCAAATGTTTTAGCATAAACAACTAATATATTTAGCTACTCAAATTAATTAATTGAAACAGATAACAACTAAAAACTAACAATACCAAGGGTGTGTTTATTTTGTGTTTTGGTTGGAATATTTTTATTTTTGTAATAAGTATAAAAAAATATGTGAATAATATAAAAATAATAAGTGTCCTTAGTATATTAAATTATTTTAAAAAATATGTTAGATTTATTTTGAATGAACGAACACACCCGAAATATTCCTATTATATAAATTCTTATTGATTAAATTACACTTATACCTCCAAATAATATAAATCACTAAAAGTCCGTTTAGATTGACTTACAACAATTTTTTATAAAAAATTGCTCGGATGTAATAGAATTTAAATTGCTTTTAACTCTTAAAATAAAGTATAAAATAGACTATTTTAATATAATTGTATATATATATTTTAAAAATTATTAATTAAAGTATTAACAATATACTATATTTTTAAAATTTTAGTTATTTATATTTTAAAGTTTTAATTTAAAGATAACCTATAAATAAAAAATAAAATTAAAATTTAATATTTCCTCTGTCTTATATCTATACGAAATTTTATAAATATTAATATTGAACTTGGATTTAGTATAAATAAAAATAAAAAAAATTAAACTACCCTTATTATCAATATAAATATAATGTTAATACATTGGATATTTGTAAAATTAGTTAAACTTATGACACAGAAAAATAAATAAATTGGAAAGGACGAAGGAAGTATTATTTGTATTACGAAACTTATTTTAAAATTTCATAAATTATATTTAATAATTTTAATATAATTAAAAAAATTTATATATTCTTATTTAAATTTGATATTTTATTTATAATTTTAAATTTTTAATTAATGTATAAATCAATAATAATAATTAATTTATATGTTATATTAATAATATTAATATAACATATAAATTAATTATTATTATTATTATTATTACTAAAATAAAACAATATAAACACCGATGTAAATAAATATTTTTTTTAAATAAAAACCAAAAATTTCAATAAAAGTGGTGGTTCAGTAGCCGATCTCATTCTATTTCATAAAATAGTTGAAAATATTATTTTATATAAAATATAAAAAGTTATATAAAAAATAAAAAAATAATAAATATATATATTAAATTTTTTGGAAAAATATTTTTAAAAAATAAAATAAAAAAACAGATGTTGATATTAGTATTAATCTATAATCATACTTGAGGAAGCATGGTGGGTTAGCCCAAATTAGAAGGGCGGCCCAAAATGATTTGAGAAAGCTGCTATAAATTCCCACCGCCACTCGACGCCCCACTCCGTTTTGTAATTTGTGTTTGTCATCGAAAACAAATCCCTCGTTGCCAAATCGGAATCAAAATCGAGATCAAATGGCATCCCCACGCGAGGAAAGTGTGTATATGGCGAAGCTTGCCGAACAGGCGGAGCGCTACGAGGAGATGGTCGAGTTCATGGAGAAAGTTGTCGGCGCCATCGACGGTGACGAACTCTCCGCCGAGGAGCGGAACCTCCTCTCCGTCGCCTACAAAAACGTCATCGGTGCTCGACGCGCTTCCTGGAGGATTATATCCTCCATCGAACAGAAGGAGGAGAGCCGAGGCAATGACAGCCACGTGTCGGCTATCAAAAGCTACAGATCCACGATCGAGTCTGAGCTGTCCTCCATTTGCGACGGCATACTCAAGCTCCTTGATACCAAGCTCATTGGATCCGCGGGTACTGGTGATTCCAAGGTCTTTTACTTGAAGATGAAGGGCGATTATCATCGCTACTTGGCAGAATTTAAGACTGGAGCTGAGCGCAAAGAAGCTGCCGAGAACACGTTGTCGGCTTACAAGTCCGCTCAGGTTAGATTTAGACTTTCGCTTTTATTTGTTACCTTTTACTTTCTGGACATTAATTTATTTTTTACGTTGAGTGATCTATCTGATGAATATTGTGCGAGGGGTTATTCCATAGATCTGCGTAATTTTGCTAAAGAGCATATGTTTAATTTTTGCTGTTGCTTTGGTTTGGATTAGTTTTGTTTCGGGCGCATTAGTTGTTTCACCTCATCTGTATATTTACTCCATTTTGGCACCTGTGATTTGCACCCATCGCTTATTTGAGTGCTGAAGATGCATAAATATTATTAGTTGGAAGCTGCTACTTGATGTCATTATAGAAAGTGTTTCTATTCCTAGTGATTCTATAAACCAATTATGTATATTTCAACAAGAGAGCTAATAGATTTTGTTGAAGTTAACTGTTAGTATATGCCACCAATGCAATAATTTGGGAGTTGAAATATTGAATCATACAAATACAATTACTCCGGTAGTGGTCTGTAAATTCTTACGTTCTTAGCTATGCAGGGGCGGACCGAGGTGGGGGCAAGGGTGGGCTGCATCCCCCTTTCCCACCCCATTTTTTTTTTACTTATTTAAGTTTATATATTTTTTTATTTAAATGTATGTAATATAGAGAAAGTGGATAAATAAAAAAATACTAAAAAATTGTATATCTTGTCTGAATAAAAAGGAATACAAAAAAAAAAAAAGTTATAATACAATGTATAACTATTATTATTGTTGTAGTTCGGTAATTGTATTCATTTTCTTCAAAATATAATAATCAGAATGATAATTTTTTCGGATAACAAATAAATGTTTATAAATACAATATATTATTTTATAAATTTCAAAATTAGCCCCCCCTCGAATATAATCCTAGGTCCGCCACTGGCTATATGTATGCATGTGTGTATATATTATTATTATTATTATTTGGTGCATGCAGGACATTGCCAATGCTGAGCTTGCTCCCACACATCCAATCCGGCTTGGACTGGCACTCAACTTCTCAGTCTTTTACTATGAGATTCTGAACTCTCCTGATCGAGCTTGTAATCTTGCCAAACAGGTGTGCTTGCAATGTCTAGCCTCCTGCTTCTAAGTTACTTTCTGTTTTACTACTAGAAAATCTTTTCAGAAGTTCGAAATCACAGGTAGAGCCGTGGCAAAATGAGATTCGGTTTGTTTTATTTGGCTGGAAAGAAAATTACTAGTCTGTGCTATAATATCTAATTGCTTTTGTGAAAGGCTTTTGACGAGGCAATTGCTGAATTGGACACTTTGGGGGAGGAATCATACAAGGATAGCACTTTGATCATGCAACTTCTCCGTGACAATCTTACATTGTGGACTTCAGACATGCAGGCAAGTTTTTCAATTCTTGCTAGTTATGTGATTTTCTTGCTGAATCCCACATCAAATTAATTGATCATTGTTTTCTTTTGTATTTTGCTTATAGGATGATGCTTCTGAAGAAATCAAGGAAGCTCCGAAGCCTGATAACGAGCAGTAGATTTCATTTTTACATTTTGAGTGTTGTGATATTGCCTCAATAGTAATCTGCAATCTAGCAGAGGGGGATAAAAGGACGGAAAAAAAATACAAGAGAAAAAACAAGAAAGATGGTCATAAGAAGTATTTAGCTTTGATAATCGACTTCTTTTTTTGTGGAGGCCTTTGTCCCACTGGCTTTCATGGTTTTTCATCCTTCATTTCTCAGTAAGCATACTGATGATGTCTGCTAAAATTTGCTTATGAATCATTGTTTTCTCTCTCTTGAAGAAATCTTTCTTAAGTAAATATTCTTTGAGATTTACCTATTTTCTTTGGTAGACAGAAGGTTCCACTGCAGGTAAAAATTCATATATTTCTGAATTACTAGTGATGTGGTTTAATTTCCATTGCCATGATGGACAGGACAGGCTAGGGTATGCTGAAATTGTTAGGGTAAGCTGATGGGCAAGTTGGCTAGTTGGTTTCCATAAAGTGGGTGTAAGGTATGTATGGCTGTGCTCTTTTTCTGCTTAATAAATGTAACCCCTTCCATTCCTTTTTTGCAAGCTTTACAGCTGTGTTGTCTGTGGCCGTGGGGACACACTCTTGTTGTCTTTTGACCACATAATTTGAAACTACAGTCAAGTATTTGAAATATGCAACTATGGGGAATAATATTTTATAACTCACTTTATTTGTTCACTATTTCTTTGTTTGTCAACTAATTATACTTTATTTAAATTTTCAACGGGAAATTAGACATAAAAGGTGGGACTGAGGGAGTATGCTTTTGTTAAGCAAAATAATATGTGATATATTTTACTTTAAAAATAATTAATTAAATTAATAATTTTTGTAAATATATTTAATAAAATTAAAAATATTTTATAATTAAATATTTATTAATGTTTAGCTATAAATAATATAAAATGAATTATTTTTTAATTATACGATAATAATACTTATTATTATTTAATTATTTTTTAATTACATATAATCATATTATATATTCTTAATTTATTTATTTAGGAAAATATCTAATATTTTATGAAATTTATTACTGTTAAATTTAATATGTAATGTGATTTTGCAAATAAATATATATTAATTATATTGTTACTAAAATATTTGAAATGAACCATATTTAAGTTTACTTAATTTATTTGTCAACTAATGTATACTTTATTGTGAAGATACAGGGTTGGTTTGTTTAGCGTTTTGATTTGAAGAAATATTTATTTTTATTTTTTTATGTGAGGTATAGGAAATTGTGTTGTTAATATAAAAAATAATATTTTATGTACTTCTGTGAAAGGATAAAATATATATTGAAAATCGTGTTGGAAAAAAATGTTGAGCAAACAAACCCTTATATTATATTAATTGTTGAAATCTTGTATGATGCATATTTGACCAATATTGAACCTTTTTAAGTAAGAGTTTGTAATGGTTAAATACAGTGCTTTATGAAGTTTCATTTCTTTTCCTTTACTGTGTGTGTTTCTGATCATATTTTTGTAAGAGGAAGATTGAACCCATGACCTAATGCTGGCAAGACAAGAACTAAATCATTAGTCTATACTTTTATTTTTTATATAATTTTTTTTGTTAATATATTTATAAAATTATTTTTTGAAATTATATGTAATTGACAAATTGGGCTGGGTTAGGCACAGCCCGGTTCATGCTTGTGCTGGGCCAGACACGGCTCCAATTTTTTTGGGTCTATTTTTTTAAGTCCAAGCATGTTTTTTTTGTGTTGGGTTCGGATAGAATTTTTGGGCCATGCCTATTTTTTCCGGCTCTACTTTATATTGACTTTGATTGCAGTGCATAAGATGTTCACTATATGGAGCAATAACAGTGTAGACTGTAATCATGTCACTCTATTTTATTTTTTATTTTTAAAATTATACGTTAGTTCATTTCATGACGATAAGAGGTGTTAAATGACTCTTAACACTTGTGCATGATTATGTTAATCATTTAATGTAATGTGTATTCATATGTGATTCTGGTTATTAAAGGCCTTGTAGTAAGAATATCTTTTAGACTTACAACACTTCTCTTGGTTTCTCATCCAATTGAACCAGGGTTGATGTAGTTACAAGTATCTGCAAGCCAAGTGTGGTGGGCCTGAAGAAGAAGAGCTTGTGTGGGGCAGAAAACAAGGTACGTATGATGCTGATGTTGATTAATAGGTAATGTATTGGAGAATAATGCATTTTCAAGGCCAAGTAGCTTTTTTGTATGAGACACGAGACAAGTTGCCAAATACTTTAATCTCAATGAAACATATTTATTTGTAAGGCGTTTCATATTTCAAACACCCTACCGTTTATTGATGAATGCTATTGATTACTCCTGTGAGGTAGAGGGAATATTGTTAAGAATTGAGTTCACAAAAACCATTCCATTACCTTCGGACTAGAGTTTATGTTGCTTAATCATCACACCATAGGTATCTGAAGCTAGTCTTGTAGCTATGGTCAAGAATAAAATAACTTATGATTTTATATTTAATTTTTTGTTGCATGGAGACAGAAAGTAAGTTATCAAGCATTTTTCATACTTTTGCACTGTCAATATATATAAATTGTTGGAGAATGGGATATAATGGTAATAACGTTCTATTGGATTTACTATCTAAATGATGGTACTGTGTTCCCCCTAGCAAACTTACCTAGACACTTAGTCAAAGTTTCAAATGGGTTTTGATTTTTCTTTGTTTAGAGTTCAAATAATCAAATTTATAATCAGACTTGCTTTAACAGGTATTATTTATTCTGATGTACGCCACAATCAAGCGATGAGAAGGACACAGTTGAGGAGGAGGCAAATGTGTTGAAACTTCAAAGTGAAAGCAAAAGTTCTATCCACAATCGAGGTTAAATATATATTCTATGAATTGCCTTACCTTAACAAAAACAGTGCTTCCATAATGTCTCTGATTGCTCTTTATTACATTACTTATGGTATAATTAAAAAACATTTGGATCATGGAAAGCTCACATCAAAGTATCCTTTGAAAAGGGAAATAAAGACGAAGATAGAATGGCATATGAGGGGGGTTGAGAAAGATTTGAATGCTTTAACTAAAGAAGAGCAAACGGATATTGTTTACAGGTCAGCGTGCTTTTTATTATCTTGATATGCATTTCATGTTTCGTTGCACCTTTTATATGAACTTAAGAAGAGCAAATGGATATGGTTTACAGATCAGCGTGCTTTTTATTATCTTGATATGCATTTCATGTTTTGTTGCACCTTTTATATGAACTTAAGAAGAGCAAATGGATATGGTTTACAGATCAGCGTGCTTTTTATTATCTTGATACACATTTCATGTTTTGTTGCATCTTTTATATGAACTTAAGAGAGATTTAGCTTATATTTGTGCGAGGCACATGCTGCAATGCTGGACATTTCTGAGTGCACCTTTGGTATTTTCTTTGATCCAAGCATACATGCCACTGCACACCTTTTTAATTTTTTTAATACCAGTACTAGTAATATATATATTTTTTAAAAAAATGCAAAGTAAAAATTTTGATTGTATTTTTGTAACATATTTTTAACCGCCTTTAGTTTATTTGTTTACTTTTTAAACATTTCTTGATGTTCCCCATTCTTGTTTTTATTGCTAAGTGAGTATCTATTTTTCTCCCTTTTTAATTTTTTTCCCTTATAAAAATTTCATTATCCATTCTATTTTTTTATATTAGATAAGGGAACGGTTAGGGTGCTGATTAGGAAAATTCAGTACCGTGCTGATTTTTCCGTAATATATTAAACAACACAGTCTTGTTATACACAACACATGCTGTATAGTAAAGACATGTGTTGTTGGTTTATAATTATAAGTGTGCTATATAATAATATGTAGTGTGTTAAAATCAACTATTATTTGTGCTCTGTAAGACTACAATATGTGTTGTTAGTTTATGTGTTGTATTTGCGATGTTAGTTCATAATTATAAGTGTGTTGTATGACAGTATGTGGTGTGATGAAACTGTATTTGTATTATATGAATGCATACAGTGTGCTGTGCTGTCTATAGTAACATTGTATGCTGTATAATAGCACACAATATGCTGCAATGTGTTGTCAGCATGGTGTTAAATTTTAAGATTCAGTAGCGTCTTTAGGATAATATTGAAAATTATACTACTAGTAAAATTTAAGGTTTAGGGGTTAGGGTAGTTGAAGATTCACATGCTAAGTAAGCTATTGTTGTAGCTTGGTTTTGCTCTTTATCGTTAGCCTCCATTAGCATTTATATAATTAGCTTAGGTTACCTGTTCTGTTTGCTGTTAGTCTAGTTTAGATTAGGACAGACTGCTGTTATTTGTCTAAATTAACTATGGATTTTATTTTATTTTAATTTTGTTTTCTAGTCTTAGCTTTGTTTAGATTCGGCCTTCTCATTGCTGTACTATGTCTGTTGATTGTTATAAAGTTCATACTTGCAACTGTCCTAGGTGTGTGGTTTTTAGTTTAGCTAAGATTATAACGTACTTAATATAATTAGCATTGCGTGATCGGTTTAGTTTAACTTTCATTAGGTTAGATTTAGTTCAGGTTCTTTAGTTTAGTTGTAGTTTTAATTTAATTAATCAATTATTTATTTTAAAATGATTATAAATTATATTTCCTTAAATTATGTCTATCTAAATTGTATCTTATTTATTCTAAATTACGTTATAATATATCCTATTAGTTTATGTCGCTTAATTTATGTTTGATTCGACTAACTTTTTTGTTTAATTTATTGCGCATTAATTTATCTGTAGCAAATTCCAGTAGGCAACTTTGTAGCTTAATAATTTTTTGTACCAAGTAATTTAGAAGATAAACAAATGAAAAATAGTATTTCATAATAACTCAAAAAGAGTTTCATTTTTGAAAGGTATTTGAATTAATTTTATTAATTGAATTTATTTCCAGACGTGCCTGTGGCTTGAAAGTACTTGTTTTTAGGGGTTGGGGGGTTTATTTTTAAAGAAAATTTTATAATAGGAAGGGATAATTACAAGAGTATTAGCCTAAGTTTACAATAAATAAGACGAATCAAATAGACTAAAAATGGATATCTAATTTCCAAATACGATCCAAATGGAAAGGTTCCAGTTGACAAAAATTGACTCGACAATTTGATGCGAAGACTTGAGATAATTTGGTTTGGATAAAAGATTTTGATTTAATTATGTATATTAGTTTATATTGATACTATAACTCAATTAAAATATATTAATAAATTAATTATATATGTAATAATTTTA